TTTTTCACTCGAGTACGAGTTTGAAAAAATCATTTAAGGGACTCGAGTCGCACCACTACATTAACCTGGTTGATTTTGTAGTGATAATATTGTGATAATAATATTAATAATATTGTGATAGAATATCTGTAACAATTTCGATTTAAACTTCATATATTGTTAACTTAAATTGTTTTTTTTTTTTTGTAAACTAACGTATCTAAGTGCAATGTATTGTCTATATTCGAATATATATATTCGAATGTAATGGATAGTGACTTCATATTTTAATGAAGTCATTATTCAATTTTGACGCTCTGTATAAAATAAAACAGGGAGAAAAAAGCAGCCCTTGCCGAGTTTCTTGTCGGTTCTTCTAAGTACAAGGTCTCCCGTCGTAGATTTACGAACCGATGGCGTAGCTCTCGACTTTCATAAGTGCTTGTAACAGTGATTTGATTTGTGCACTTATGTACAAAATGCTTCTTTAAATTGTCTGATTATCTCAGCAAAAAAAAGCTTTGTTTCGTTTTTTGTACCAAGTTAAAGATTATATCGTGGTTGACAGGCCTAAAACGGAAATACGTACAATTTAAAAGCACGCGAACTTTACATTTACTGATGATAAATCTAACGAAAGAGGAAAATCTGAATTGGTTGCGTTCTGTTTGATGGGCCCATCGCGTTTGATGGCACGGCGACGGCTAGACAGCTCTAATGTTCGCCCATCTGTTCGTTTTTAATGGTAGCCAATTGGTAGCCACCCAAAATGTCGGACTAAATGTTCAATGATAGATTGATATGTTTATTTCGATTGGTAAATTGGTGAGTGGCGATAAGAGTGTTATAGACGTGGTTTTTCTTTATTAACAATTATTTTCTTTATTCTTAGTTTGACTTCTTCTTCTGTATATTTCGAAAGAAGAAGGTTCGCAATTTGACCTGTATATATATATGTTTGTGCACGATTATCTTGCGTTTGACTGAACCGATGCTGTTATCAGCATAGTATTTGTCAGACTTAGGAGAAGGTTTTAGGTATATTAACCGACTAATAAATAAAGGTTCTCACTTAAACACGTGTTTTATGTATTAAGCCGCGATTACTTGCGTTTGGCTGAACCGCTTTTGACGCGGTTGTCAGAAAAGCATTTTTAGTGTTACCCATTATAAAAAAAATCTACATCAATAAAAATTAAAAAAGTAGAACCGACTTCAAACTTAAAAAGTGAAAGATAATACTTATCTTAAAAGCGACTTATTCCAGAAAAATTTTTTTTGGAGTCGGGCGCCTTTCATTTAATTAATAACCTACAGAAAACCTCCGTCCGACTTTAATAGCATTTTCATGAATAACTCAGTTTTGAGATAAGCATTGTATTTAACTTTTTTTTAAGTTTGAAGTTCTATTTATTTTTAAGTCTTTATTTTTAGTATTTTTTATTTAAATGCAAACTTGACATAGGTATTAGATACAATGTAACATTTTAACTGTGCCAAGACATGTACACAGCTGCACATCACAACACCCCAATATGTCAAATTTCCATATTTGATTATAAATTCTACCTACAATGAATTAAGGTTGAAAACCAAGTGGAAAAATTTAATATACTCTACCGTGATGTTGATTGACTGTACAAATGAAAATTGGAAGATGCTCTTTTACCATTTATTGAAATGTATTTTTGGTAAAACAGAGTTCGATGACGCAGTAAATAGCTATCCGTTTACGAGGTGACCAAGAATTTATTATCTCGATGATGACGATTTAAAAAAAAAATATTAATCGAAAGCTAAGGTCACAAGTAAAGCAACCAGTTATATCATACGTGAGTGATATAGGCTATAAATTTCAAAGGCAAAGTCGCGGGAAATAGCTAGTTAAACATGTATTACGTCTTTACATTTAAATTCCGACGGCTAACCAATCCGCACTCAGTTTCAAAGCATACTTCGAGTATAGTAACTGTAAACATCAAAAGTTGGAGTAAACTCAAATATAACAACTTGGTCTCAACTTGATTCCTGCTGAGACAAGTGAAAGCCAAACTTGTAATTTACAGAATGAATTTTAAAGTAATCTATACTTATATTATAAAAAGGATGTATATATTCTTGATGAAAAATGCTTAAAAAATCAACTTTGTCCCTGGCACTGAGATTGGACTCGAACCCATAAACTTTCGTAATCCGGCGACTGCTCTAACCACTGAGCTACCCAGGACCGAACAGGACTCTCGGATTTTTCAAGCACATGTTACTTTTTCGCCACTACAGAGAGTAATTTCATAAATGTTCAGGCAATCTAACCAAACAGCCAAAAGAAATATTTTTACAAATATTTAAACTTTCGATAAAGACGAAAATTTGTTCTAGTCGTCTGGCTTGCAAAATGTCGTGTGTTAGAATCCCATCTCAGAGTTCCAGGAACGAAATATTTTGAGTGGATTTTTTGAGTATTTTTCAGTATATCATTGTGAATGCAAAATTCAACAAATATATAAGGATGTTGGCATTATGAAGTGTTGAGATTTTTAACTACTGATCTTGTGGTGTTGATCTTTTAATTTTTGATACTGTGAATTTTGACTTTATGAATGACACCCCTCAACTAAATGTCTTCCAAGCTGTTGTTTTTTACTAAATAACACAATCTTGTAAACAGCACATTTTCAATAACTTAAGACTTCATAAGAAAATAACACTCATACCACATGCTATGCACTTGATATGCCCTTACAGGGCGTCACATGTACACGAACAGCAAATTAATAAACATCTTATAATTTTAATGTGACATCCAATAAATGATTTGATTTGACCAAAAACGGTTTCCAAAAACTTGACACAGAGCATGCGATGCACTCCAAGATGTGATTGGTGGTTGTAGAATTATGATAAAAAGGAAACTGGTAGGGAACGTAAAACAGCCTGCATAAATTTATAAAATCATTAAAGCACACCTACAAAGCAACAATAACCAACAAAGTATGCGTTTCAAATCTCCCTGTCTCTGAAAATGGGTACCGGAGACTATGCATTTTGTAATATGTTTTTCTTTACATGGGTCACTGCTCTAGATTGTGAAAGGTTACGAGTTCCAAACTTTTAAAATTGTCCAATAAATATATTTAGTTTTCTACAGTAACGAGGACTAAAGTTAGAACTTGCTTTAAACGATGACAGAAAATAAAATGACCGGATAATGGCTTAAACCTGGTACCAAAGTTAGTCTACGTTTTATAATAAGGCGGATAATGTTTGTAAAATTCAAACCTCGTATCAATGTCCAGCTGTCACGGCTTGGCTCAAATTTTATTTTAAAAGTGTTATGATCAGTCATTGATTATCAACTCAATTTAATTTAAATCTAGAATAAATGTCTATTCTCATAAATAAGAAGGGTAAACAAAACATATTTACAAGTCTATGAATCAAAAGGTTGTTATTAAATATACAATGGAATAGAAATATAATTATTCTGCTTTTTTAATGTCTTTTTGTGAAATATAATAACTTGATTCATTATATTAGTTTAGTGAACTAATTGACATTATGAACCTTGCGACATTAGTTGATGATAATAAAAATATGAAAGTCATTATCCGCATTTTATACTGAATTCTAAACAGAGCCATCATTCTTAATTACCCGACAGATTTAGGCTAATGTCAAAACGTAAACAAACGTACTATCATCTGATAACAACACATGTATATTTATGTAGATGATTACAGTAAATTAATAGAAAATACAAACAGAACAAATGATTTTAATATATTCCAAATATACATATAAATTGTTGTTAGATTTTGTTCTTCCAATTGCGTCTCGAGAAGAACTCTGTAAAGCATTTAAAAGAAAGTATATTTTATTTTATATTTGGTATCTTTGACTTTAATGATACTTGTACGGTTATAAATCAAAGGAAGATATCGAAATTTCAGTTAATAATTGCTTTTTTACGGCGCCATAAGAGAGATACTCTCTATACAGGTTATTTTGGTACTTATCAAGAAATATGTGCTATACTTCCTTAATATTGTTGTTAAAACAAAAGTATGCGAATTCGAATAAGTACTACTAGCACAAATTAGTTACACCTGAAGGTCGTTTCTATTTCTCCGAAAACGTTTCTTCTTATTTTCGAAATGCTCATACGATTCCAAAGAATCCCATTTTTCGATAATCTATGATGCAATCGAGGTAGAACCTGACACTGCCTCTGTTGCACAGATAATCTTCATGGATGTGAGTTTAACAAAATTACAAGAAATTTCCGTTCGAGAACAAATAGGTTTGTCATAGTAGATACATTTTCGAAAATCTTAAGTGCACTTACATTCATTAACATCAAAGCAATTCTTTATCTTTAGTAGTAGTACTTAATACTTTTTGGATGTATGCATATTCAACTCATTTTGTGTCTCTGCAACTCTTCACAGAAATACAGAGAATTATTAAATGAAATAAAACAGTATTAGAGCGAGTGTTCCGGAGGGTTATTAAGCTGATAAGTTCCCGCCTCGCTCGCTACTCGCCCACATAGCACAGCTTTTAAGTTTTGAATAAAATTTAATATTAATCAAAAATTATGTTAATACCTTTTATGCCCGGCACGCGTAGTCTGAGGAAATGAGATGACCTCACAGTGAAATTAATAATATGCTCTTCTTCAGCTTTCTTTTATAAAGACAAATAAACAGGTAATCAAATACACCTTCCCATTTATAATATTACAATGTACCTACATTATTTTTTTGGTAACATTCCAATAGAGTTTATGTAACTTTCATTTGTGCTAGAATTTTGCAAGATATATATCGAATGTGTCGTTTTAGGGCTTATTTCAGAGATGAAAATAAACCATGTATGTGAACTGAAAATTGGATAGGCTCAAAACGGATCCCTGAGGAATTCGTAAAGAAATGGCAAAAATCCCAAGCAAAATCTCTATATTAACGTTCTGATTCCCACATCTGTTTGACCTATTGGATCAGATTTTTCATATTTTTTTTAGTATTCAAACCTTTCTCTTTAAATAAATATTTTTTATATTAAGGAAAGTTTTTAGTGTGTGAGCAATATATCTTAAAAAAGTCGGGTGTCACTCTAAGCATAAGTAAATAGAAGTGTGAGAAGACTTAAAAGAAAAAGAGATTAAAGGTTCTCTCTTAAATGAAATTCATTTTTGCTTTATAATGTCAACGTCATACACCTTCCCTTCAGACATTTCAGGAACGCTTCGTAAACGTTTTATTAGATTAGCAACCGGATATGAAACAACGAACGTTTTCCCAACTTTTTGCATTTATAATTACTTATACGAACTTTTTCTCGCGTCCTCGTCTCTTCAAAATTTATATTTCTAGTGATTATTATTTGATTAATTCTTTATATAGGTATTAAACTCGCCAAACTATTTTTTATATATAAATTTTAACTATAAATTCTGTAACATTTGCAACAGCAATTTTCAAATTAATATAACATATACTTGAGCATATCTATATCCTAATCTGTTATTAATACAGTACCTATCATCAAATATATCGAATAAACAATGGCAAAGTAAGCAATCATTGTAACTAATTGTATTTATTTAGCTACAATACAAATATTGCGTAAATCACCCTTATAAATATTAACGATAAGTAAATATAATTGTCATTAGTATGTGGCGAGGGTAGAGCAGTATTTACAATTCAGATACTATTAGTAAGGTCCAGTAACTTTATTATCTAACTTGGTGGCTTTGAGAAAAGCAGATAATTATAATAATTAGCGTGGATTTCATTAATTATCTGTTATTAATATATTATTATGTGTTTTTGTACAGCCTTTTCAGATTAGTTCCAGGATTTATTTATCAAACCTGAAATATAGTTAATCAAAAATGCTTAAAAAATCCGACTAATATCCAGTTGCACAAACATCCATTAAAATTTTATTTCTTTAAAGCGACATTACCCATACAAATTTGACATTCATTAGAGCTTAAGGGCGTCATTAAACCTTAATAGAAGTTTGTGCAACTGATCGTTAGAGTACCAGGGATTTTTTTAAATGTTTTACCTAATAATATCTAAGAAATACTTAATATATTATACAACATCACACATATCGCTCAGTTCTCAAACAAAATCGACAAAAACTTTGTGTTGTTTAAATTAACAATAGTACCACTACATTTAGATCCAAGACAATATAAACCGGGACTCGAACCCGTGATAAAACATATTGAAATTAGCTTTTGAGCTACTCAACCATGGAGGTTATTAGTTAAAATTAGTGTATGAAGAATTACCAAACATTTAGTTTCATTAACAACAAATTTACTTTTCCTAGATAAAAGAAATATCTTTTATATTATCTCCAATGTCCCGGATTTCATTTAGTCTGAGTAGATGCCACAAATATTTTTGCTATATTAAATATATTCGTAATATGACACCGGCAATAACCATATAGCAGATTTCTTTTATATTGTTGATTACACTATGTAAGATGTATATTTCTATGTGAAGAGCAATCAGAATTGAAACACGATTTAGTTGTAAAGAAAGATCAAAGAATTCCCCGAAATTAAATTATAATAAACAGGTGTGTACTTACTTCCTCATGTACTGGAACTTGATGACGATAAAGATGAGAAGCGTGTTAGCTGACAGCGAAGCGGTCAGCACGGCAACATACAACACTATTATCACCAAATCTGGACGATAGAACACGTCCAGGTCAGCGTCCAACGGCGACAAGCCCCACGCGTCGGTTTCATTCCAACCGACACTCTGCAGTGTAGTGTTGTTAAGTGTCCGAAGGGACATTTTTGCACTTTAAATCCTACACTTTTCAGAAATCACTGGCAACACTTTTCACACTCCAGTTTGGGAGCCACAGGTTTGATGTGAATTATTTTGCTATCACTTTCAATCATGTTGTCGTTATGATAAACTACTATATTGTTTATTTCCCTTTTCTTTTGATGCGTTTACAATGCTTTAATGACATTTATTTTAAGCATTTTGAAGATAGATCTTGTCATATGTAGCACAATTAGTCGAGATATTGCGCGGTTGTTAAAAGTTACAGATTCGAATCCCTATCAGACATTTCCGAAATCGTGCATTTATTTTCTATTTTGTTAGTATAAAAATAACTTACTTTTATTTCGTTTCAAATTTATTTTTATCAGCAATAACTTCAACAAACTTGCTTTGTTTAAAACAAATAAACTAAGATACTTTAAAATAAACAAACTCTTAGTTTTCATATCATATAAGATATGAGATTGATCGATGCTCGCATGTATTTCTGCATAGAAAACGCGTTTTCGCTATACGATCTTAACTCGGGATTCAACTGTGAGAAAATCCCTTTCATATATCAAAACGGAGGCCTTTTGTGTGTAATGTTTGAGTTTAAATGGTGAGTTACACGTAGCTATTATATTTTGAAGGCAAACATCGAGCAGGCAATCAGTCTGTTATACTTTTCTTCTTTTTAACATTTCAATGTGAGTTTTAGGTAACTTTGAAATCATAATTAAGAAGTAAAGTTAACGATAATAAATCATACTTAAGAGATTAATAGTCAATAATATAGTTTTGCATTTGAAGCAATATCTTGTTTCGAATGAACAATGATGCGGACTATATTTTTTATTGCGCCAATGCATACATATAGAGCAGAAGAAATAAACGATATATATGCTTCAAACAATTTTTAAAGACGATAAAATATAATAGGTACTTGTCATAAAAGCGGTTCATATTCCACAAAATTACATTGTTTTGAAGTTCTTTAAAGAGAGAATTAAAGGGGTCGTTCGATATCATATGTGTCACATAAGAGATCTCAGGTACACCCAGCGGACAGTGAGCAATGTTTGATATTTCTCTACGTGATCGAATAAAGAATGAGGAGATTACTGATGGTGCTCGAAGAATTGCTCAATTATAGTGGCAGCGGGCGTCACTCATAACTAGAAGGCCTGATGGCCGCTAGGGCAGAAAGGTTCTGGAGTGGCGACCACCCAATAGATGATGATCAGTACGCTGTACTACGGCAGACACCCAGACGGAGCGACGATCTGATGAAAGTGGCAGGTAGCCGCTAGATGTGGGCAGCGCAAGACCTATTATCGTAGAGGTCTATAAGCTAGAACTATGGTCAGCAGTGGGCATCGTATTTATCATTAATGGTCTCATATCTGTCGCTTGACTATGATTTTTAATTAGACTGTCGCTGATCAAGTCTCCCGGATTTCACACACTATTTATATAGTTACACGTCATGCAAACATTCGCTTGTAATAGAATACTGAACAGTGTCTTGGCAAAGCGTTATATGTAAATTATAATAATATACATTAGTCGATTATTGTATATCTTCTAATTAAACAATGTATTTCAAATTTTCGTATATTTTTTGAATTGACTTCATTCAATCATTTATTTAAAATATGTTTATAAGGCTATAAGGCTTCTCTTTAACCTGTTTTGGTACACACAACTGTAAAAGAGAAAAATACCAAATAAAATGAAAACAGAAATGGGGTAACTCCAAGATATGTGTAAATAAAAAAATTGGCACAAAGTGTGAATTCATATAACATTCTCAACAGGAAAACTCTCTTGATCTTAATTTGAAATCAAATTCGTAATTTTCGTCTTTGATTTTTTTTACGTGACTAAAACAAATATACAAACTCTTTTCATATACATAGAGGAGTGCCGTGAATACGTTTTTTATCGATAAAAAAACATTCACGCGTTTTATTGGACAATATATTTTTCCTGGCACACAGACACCTATATACTGGTATAAATTAAACTTAGCAATATCTATTTAAAAAAACCGATCAAGTGCGCGAAAGGAACAATTATAATCAATAAAACAACACAAAAAAACATGTTTCTTGTATAGGAGTACTTTTTTAAATATCTGTTTTAATAAAATATATCTGTTGTTATAACGTATAAAGAAATACGTCATCTGCGAAAATTACATCTGTTCAGCTCTTTCATGACATACCTACATTCTGCTACAGACAGAAGAACTATGGAGTCTTAGTGATAGGGTTTCGTTTTTACCCTTTGGGACTAACAAAACTCTATTTCAAGTAGAGACCCCCTGTAACAAATGTATTAGTTTATCAAAGACATTAAACTATAAAATTTATTTAATTATAAATGACACGACGTTATTTTATATTCATGATTTTAGGTTGCCATGATTCTGAACTTCTGAAAATCTAGTTAATTTCATGTTGGTTAACAAAGTTTTCGTTCATTCCGAGTTTCATACTTCATTTGAGAACGGTGTCTCACTCCATATACCAAATTTCATCTAAATCGTTTAACGGAGCGGTTAGAAGTTAAACTTTAAAAGCATAACAGATACATTAATTAAAACAAATTTATTTAATGATCAATTACCCGTTATATTACATACTAGTGGCCGCCAGCGACTTCGTCCGCGTTTTCCATTATTTCTTTGCTCCTAATAGTTGCAGCGTGATGTTAAATAGCCTAAAGCCTTCCTCGATAAATGGTCTATTCAACACAAAAATATTTTTTCAATTCGAACCAGTAGTTCCTGAGATAAGCGCATTCAAACAAACAAACAAACTCTTCAGCTTTATAATATTAGTATAGATTTGCCAATGAGTCATTCATCTCACTATGTAAGCTATTTGTATACAAAACTATTAAATGTCACTAAACACGCCGACTGTTGAAACTATGAAACATAAATGAAAACGCTTTCTCGATCCTATTTTGTTTCAATAAACAAATGTTGTACAATAATATTTCAGCTAGTTCGCCCGAACCCAAACGTAATACGTCATAAAAACTTCTTTAATGTGTGTTGAAAACGTTTGACGTTTGATGTAGAGCCGTCAAAGTAAAATTAACCGGATCGTAAACGGTCCGCACTGATTATACGAATCATGGCGGCCGGTCGCAAGGGGCGTGTGGAACACATTATTACGATCTATTTTTGTGAAAATATTTCATTAAGTCATAATTAAATGAACTCTGCACTTACCAAGGAACATAGATAGATTAGCGTGTTCAGTCTAAGATGCGGAAGTTAAGCATCTTTCGAAATGGACTGTGACTGGATGGGTGATCGAAAAGTGTTATCTCGATCTAATCCGTACTTCGGAGGCAGTTTAAGCCGTGGGCCCTACCTGGAGACCTACTGTGTGGTATTCTTTATATCATCTATGCGGATGGTTTGTGCTGCAGCTATACCGACATCTATCTGAGTAAGCTAGCGGAAAAAACGTCCCAAGTTATTATTAATGGAAACAACTAATGAATTGATTCTAAACTTGTGTAATATTTAAAATGAAAATACAAAACTATTGTTCCAGTGTCTCTTGCTTTTTGTTGTATTTTGGGGCTATTAGAAAAAATACACAAGAAACAATACGCAGAGATCGTAGAGTAACACCATCAGAACACATTCGCGATGAAAAGTTATTGAGATAGATCATAGGTTCGAGTCCCATCTCAGAGTGCCAGGGACAAAGTGATTTTTAAGCATTTTTCATTAAAAATGTAAAATTTTGAATGTAAAATTGATGAAATATAATAATTAAGAAATAAAATTAACCGGAAAAGATAATGTACAAATTAATAGAGGCAAACTCCTTGGTTCTAACATGTAAAAAAATCTAGGATGAAAAATTGGCGAATCTCATATAGCTGCAGTGCGAAAATGGAAGGGAAGTGATCGCGTGTTGTCAGAAAGTAATGTTAGAAGCCATAAAACCCAGCGAGAATTTACGTAAACAGTAGATAATGAAGGTCAAGGAAACGAAAGGGTTATGTAATAGGCGTATCATCTTCTAGCGCTCAAACAAAGCAATCATCCTTCATTTCATTCCATGCCAATTTTATTCGTGCACGCTTATGCTGAAAAACTTTTAGAAAAAAATCTTTAGAAATATATTCTACCTCGTGTGTTCGTATATTTTGAGACGAAATAAAGTTGCGTAACTTTTTTAATAATTAACTTATATTTCTAAAATTTTCAGTTACCATTAAATAGATAATAATCGACATTAAAATATATATTTTATTCAAAATGATCGCCCCTGTTTTTAATACAGGCCCTTAGACGATTTGGCCAATTATCAATGGTGGCATGAATCTTTTCTAGCGGAATTCGCTTTGCTTCTCGAACAAGGGTTCACTGAAGCGAACCCTTGGTTGAAAAGCAAAGCGATGCAAGTTTGGGTAGGACTTTCGGCAGGCACTGAGCTCTAATTCTGTCTATGAAGAATAATCCAGCGGGTTGAGGTCGGCGCTAGAGAAGACCCTCTCGTCCGCCGCAATGATAGCCGGCACATTCTCCCTCAACCAAGCTTGGGTGCTTTTTGTCTTAAGAGATGGTGCCGAGTATTGTTGAAAAACTATCTGTCTTGCTGAAAACCAATCTTTATTGTGAAATAACGTATCAAACGCGAAATATTAGTCTGCAGAGCGAGTTTATTCTGAGTGCGTCACGGCTTTCGGCGAAATCGCTCTCGGATGATTTTGATGTTCGCAGGTGTCCTCACAGAGCGTGACCGATAACTCCTTTGTAGAGAACTTGTCTCCTTATATCGCTGTATTGTGTAATAGACGAAATTACGGCTTACAGGAAAACTTTTCAGCTCTCGGAAAAACTGCATCGGTTTTTTCCCGCCTTAAACAGCGAAATGACGTAATTGTTTCGTTCTCTCCATCACGAGAAAATATAAACAAATGAATTTGCGATACAAATAAACTAACAGTTAGCATTCCAAATTCAAAATCGGTAATAAATTAAATAACAGCCAGTGACATTTTATTTAATTTTTTCATTAAAAAGTAAATTTTTGCCTGTAATAAACATCACATATATTTATAATCAAACTGAAAAAATGGCATACTCATTGTTATGGTGATTGGTGCTAGCACAGATTGCTAGGAATATTTAAATAACTACCTCACAACGTTGGGCCCGGGCTGTAGTATATAGCGAGGTAGTACTCATTAGAAATGCGCCGAATAGTTGTTTCATGAATTATTCGGTTTACCGTTTCATTATTTTCATTTAGCTAGAATATTTCTAAGTAATATAGCGAAAAATGACTTGGAAAGCAGGGAACCTATATAAAAAATAAATTTAAAACTAACACTTATCTCAAAGGCTACTTATTTAAGAAAGTGCTATTGAAGTGGAACGGAGGTTTACTGTAGCTGTTTCTTGAATAAGTCGCTTTTAAAATAATTATGTATTATTTTAACGTTTTTATAATTTCGTTCATTTCATTTAAAGTCCGTTTTATATTTGAAAAAAAAAAGCTTTTAGTGATATTGATATATTTTACAAAAGGAAAGATTTTGTTTATTTGCTCTACAAGGTTTTTTTTCAAATTATCCATACTCTTATTATATATCTAGAGCAAAGATTTGATTGCTTGTTTACTTGCATCGGATAGGCTCTGAAACTATTGGACTAATTGTAAAATTCTTTCACCTACGGGAAGCTACATACATATATAATACTAGCTGTAACCTGCGGCTTCGCCCACGTGGTCCGAAGGTACTGTGTGCACACTGGCTTAATTAAAATCTGACAGTGATCATCCACCTTTATATGATAAAGCTTTATATATTA